TTCTTCTTTCCCGTGGGTTTCAGAAAAGAATTTGCTGGGGTCATTTAATACGATTTCCATCTTTCTTACGTAATCATCCTCTAATCACTGTTTTTGTTGCAGCCACAGTCATTCAAACGACTCTAGCTATGCTTGCAGCTGTACAGGATCGTTTACGGTCACTCTCCATTGTACTGGCGAGTACCTCCCCACGGCGAAGAAGCGTACTCTCAAGTTGTGTGAGTTGCTACCTTTTACCTAAACTCTTGCTGCCCACAGGGTGTTAACTTTGCTGTTATGGACCCAAATGTCCCCGAGGACCTGCAACCGTCTGCCTTCCCCTCTATTCGGGATTTCGTTGAAGCACTGGCCAAACTCAAGTCGGATGCCGCCTTAAAGAACCTGGCCCCAGAGGTCTGATCTCACAGTCCGCGCCTAGCGGCTCACCTTCTTCCAATTTGCAGAAAGCTGACCTTGTCATCTCCGCGGATACTATTGTCTTTTTCGAGGGTCATGTCTTGGGGAAGCCGGTGGACCGAGAGGATGCCGTGAAAATTCTTTCTAGGTACGGACACCCTGTTTTTTTTCTTCGACCCTATAGAGCAGACTATCCGGTAAACCACATGAGGTCTACACTGGCGTCTCACTGGTGTGGCTGGACAAGAAGGGAGGTGGGATCCTGCAGCAGGATCTCTTTTCAGAATGCACCAAGGTTTACATGAGTGAAATGGATGAAAGTACTATCCGGGCCTACGTCGATACGGGGGAGCCTCTGTAAGTTTTGTTTTCTTACCTCGCTTGTACGAATGTAAGCAGTTTCTGTACATGCTTTCACACACTGTAGAGACTTAGATTGATGGTGCGCCTAAGTCAGTGTAGGGCAACTATTGGTTCTCTAGTGTGACATGTGTTCTTGAAACCGAAAACAGGTGATGATTGCTTAGAAACTCTTGCCTGGGCAGTCGGCGTGCTGTTCCGTATTGGTAGATTCCATACTAGCATTAAGTTGGGCGGGTAGAATCCCTCCAAGTGTGATTAAATTCACGGCGCACGGTGAGCCTCGTAGCTCGTGGCGTTGGCTGCGCAGAAGCCTTCCCTGCTGTGTGGCTTCGACTCCCACCGCAGCCGCAAAGTTTTCACGATTGCATCAACTTAATCCTGGGTTGTTGGAAAATGCAGAATTCCCCGCAGAATGAGGGCTAGTGTTGACTGTGTCCAGTCGTGTCTGATTGTGGAGCAAGTTCAAATGGTGTATGACTGATATATTGCATTTGTAGCGGTCAGGGATACCGAGGAGTCTCTGTAAGTGTTTTTGGCAGGGCTGATTTTAGAGGGCCCAACAATCCCGTATTAAATGACCCCAGCAAATTCTTTTCTGAAACCCACGGGAAAGAAGAA